CCCCCCGCACCCGCCCTCCCCGCACCCGCGCTCGGCCCCGCGGAGGACGGCCATGCCGCCGCGGCGCAGCATCGTGGAGGTGAAGGTGCTGGACGTGCAGAAGCGGCGGGTGCCCAACAAGCATTATGTGAGTGCCGCGCGGCCCCCACGCCCCCTCGAGTCCGTGCCCCGCCGGGGGCGACCGAGAGCCCCCGGGTTCTGAAAACTTCCGAACCGTCTGCTCTCTCCCCACCCTCCCCTTCTCTCCCCCCTCGGCCCTGCTGCTGCGTGCCTGGGTCTCTCCCAGCTCCTCCCCCTCCCCCTCCTCTCTTTTGCCCGGTTCTCCTCCCCTTCTTCCCGTCCTCCCGCCTCGCCCCCTGCTCGCCCCTCTGCAGCTCCTCTCCTCCTTTCCGTCTCCCTCTTATCCCCCCCCCCAACTCCTCCTGCCTATCTGTGGAAAAGTCTGGCCCCAGCCAGTGTAGGGGACAGAGAGACAGAAAGAGGGGGAGGGGGGAAAAGAGATAGAGAAGCTCCTGTTCTCAGGCCGTCCGCCCTGTTCCTCCTTGTCCAGAGGCACCCAGACCCGCAGTGCCTAGCCACAGGTAGCTCCTCTAGGGATCGCCAAGTTTGGCTCCGTCCTTTTGGAGGATCCAGCCCGAGCCATCTCTGAGAATGGATCCTTTGAGTGCCTGCACCGTGAAAAGGTTTAAAAAAAAAAAAAAGTCCCTGCCCTCTTTCTCCAACAACTTCTGTTTAAAAATGTAGGAAAGTTTTCTCCTGGTACCTCCCTCTGTAAAATGAGAGTCTTGTTTAGAGCTGGTAAGGACTTGAGAAAATGGGCCAGTAGGCTCATTTTGCAGATGGGAAGGCTGAGGCTCAAAGAAGCTGCAGGTTCTAGAACATGGAGCTGCATTCAGGCCTTCCCTTCCTCTGGAAGGTGTGCCAGGGCAGGCGATGACCCCCAGATGGGAAATGGATTCCGCAGCAGTCTAGGACCTGAATCTGGGCTCAAGGGGCCCTGGGATCACCTCAGAGGTTTTGGGAGGAGGGGTAATGGGTCTGTGGGATGTTGGGCCCAGGTGAGGTCCTGGGGAGGCCTTCTTACTGGAGGGAAGGGGGCTGTGGTGTCTCAGGTGGTGAGAAGGGGCAGTGGCAGCGCCTAGCTGCAGAGAAGTTAACCAGGAAGGAAAAAAGAGCAAGAGGGAGGGAAAAAATCCTAACAAAGAAGTGTAGAACAATGAATAGAAAAGGGCGTTGGCTGGCTAAATTCAGCTCCTTGGCCTCCCTGCAAGTCTTCTCTGGGTCTGTTTTCTTAAGAGGCTCGTTCTTATAAAGCAGATCTGTGTGCCCTCCGTGAATAGTCTATAAAATCCTGGAAGGAGATAGCCGGAATCCACTCAGCACTCTCCACGAGAAAGGGTGTGCTGTGTGAGTCCGTATTGTTATTGGCTGGGAAGCCAGTTATTCAGCCCTTAGCCAGGCGGTGGGAAGCTATTTCCTGGACCTGTGGCATCTTTAAATAGAGTGAAGTTTCCCTTGATTCCAGAGTGGAGCTGAATTGTCTTTTTTTCTTCCTTTTTTTTTTTTTTTTGTTAACTGTTTCCAATGCTGCCAAATCTTGGTTTCTTGTTTGAGCTTGTTGAGCGTGTAACTGAGTTGCCTTTTTGGTAGGAAGACAGTTTTCACCAACATGGCAACAAGAGGAAGTCTAAAATTCTTCATGCTGCCTCCCACCCAGTCTGTGAGCTGGCAGAACCAGAATAGATACAGCCACCACAAACTGGGCATCATCATCCAGTCACACTCTCCTGTCTGCTCCCAGCACATGCATATGAGGCAGAGATTCTTGAGCCCATTTGACAGATGAGACTAAGGCTCAGAAAAGTGAGGTCCTATGCCTGAGGTCACAGTCACAGGCAGAGCAAGGACGTCAGTCCAAGTCTGTTGGGCCCCAAAAAAGTGGCATTCCACCAGAGCCCACCACTTCCTAGATCCCATACCTTCATAGTTTCCTCAAGCAGAGTCCCCTTAAGAACTAGGAAGTCTGCCATCATTTGTGATTGCCCTGTGGCTTTTCATCCTTTGCTTAATCAGATCCATCCCTGCCAGCTTTTTGAAGGTTCTGAGGCTTTAAGGGGAATCTTGCTTAGCTTTCCATCACTTTTTAGGGGCCCCTTGAAACAAGTTAAGATACGGATTTGGGTTCAAATCTTGGCCTCCACTTGGTAGCCATGTAGCCTCTCTGAGACTCAGTTTTCTCATCTGTACCTCGGGGGTGATGGTGCCCACTTCCTAGGGGGAGGGACCACATGACACCCAGACAGGTGTGCCATAGCTGTGAGGGCCTGCCTCCCTGCTCCATGGTGTCCATGTCACTCTGAATGGGAAGGTGCCAAAGTCATGTGTGCAGGGATTTCACCAAAAACTTGTTTTTCTGCATGTGGGTTTAGTCACTCTTGTGACTCAAGGGGGCCCCCTCCCTGGTATCCAGGCTTTTGGGTTCATCATAATCAGATGAAGAGGGGCGATGGGTTGAACTGAAGCCCGAGGCATCCACAGGAACAGGGCAGATGTAGTACCGTGATGGCAGGGACCTGAACCCACCAGAAACTGCTGGTGCCTCCCCCTCCTGTTCTCAAGACATGTCCACCCCACCGCTCTGGAAGAAATGGGCCCGGAGGCCGCTGTCGGTGTGGGCCTAGACTTTCATCCCATTTGGTATCCTCCTCTTTGAACCTGACCCAGCCACCCTGGAGAGAAAGCATGGCAAGGGGAGTTGGACAGTCCTGAGCCCTGCCATTTCCCGCTGTGTGTCCTTAGGCTGGCCGATTTCTCTCTCTGAACAACATCTTCTATAATCTGCAAGTTGTGAATACTGTTCCTTCCCTCTGGGGCAGAATTTCTCAACATCAACACTGTTGACATTTTGAGCCATAGCCTTCTTTGTTGTGGGGGGGGCTGTCCTGAGCATTGTAGGGTGTTTAGCAACATCTCTGGCTTCTATCCACTAGGTGCCAGTAGTGTCCCCCTCCCGAATTGTGACAACCAAAAATATCTCCAGACATGGCCCCCAGGGGTTTAAAATCACACCCTGCTGACCGCCACCCCCCCCCCCAGCCCCAACAACTGTGTTAGAATATACAGATCCGTTACGGAGAATTCTGTTAGGCACACGCCCTAATTTTCCACCACCCCTCTCCCCATTTGCAGCTACCTTGGCCACCACCTGTTCATCACTCAGTTGCCTTGGAAGGAACAGGTCACAGGTACTATAGATGTCGTGGAGAACTGCACCTGAGCTCAGGGCTGGGTCACCTGTTCCACCTGAAATGACATCTTCTCTATTATCAGGGCTGCACCCTCTCCATGCCCAGCCCCACCCGCCTTCGCTTCTGGGCACGGACGATCATCAGTGGGCCCAGGGGCAGAGCCACAGGCCAGGTCTGGAGAATGCAGAGGCAGAAACTCCCAGGACCTCTGAGATCCCAACAGTTGGGTAGGGATTGTTGTGGATGATAATATCAACGAAACTATGATTTGGAGAGGCTCCCCTGGAGCGGCCTCCCTCTGTCAGAGGCAGGGAGATTGAAGGCTTAGGGAACTGCTCCCCTTCTGTGCTAGCACGTTCCTTCCCCAGAGCTCAGGGCTTTCGGAATGCATGGAAAGGGGGCTTTCAAGGGTGATGCCCTGGGGAGACCCTCCCTGGCTGGGTTATCTGGCTTGAGGAGGAAGTGCTCCCTGGAGGCTTTGCAGGATCACCCCATTTCCTGCACTGGAGTGGGATATACAGAAGCCTTGGCTTCAGAAGAGAGTCCCTGTCTGCAGGAGCCAAGAGATGCTGGCTTGCTCTGTCTTGAGATCTTTAGATGTTAAGAGGAGCAAGATGGTGGTAGTAGTTATAGCAGCAGTCATCATAATAGCTGAAATTTCATCAGTTGTGGGCCAGGCACTGGATGAACTTCTCTGCATAATTAGAAAATCACAACAGTCCTTTAAAATAGGTACTTTTTAATACACTATTTCAAACATACAAATACATGAAATGAATTAACTCTCTACCATGCAGCTCTATCAGATCTTCATATTTGGCTATGTTTCAGATCATTATTTTTGGTTTTTAAGAAATAAAGCATAGCAGATGCAAAACCCCTATGTACCCTCCCTAACTCTTCCCCTCCCCCAGATGAACCGGTGCCCTGCATTTGGTGTTTATCATTCCCATGCACTCTTTAAAAATAGACTATTAGAGGGGCACGTGGGTGGCTCAGTCAGTTAAGTGTCTGCCTTCAGCTCAGGTTATGATCCCAGGGTTCTGGGATCAAGTCCTGCATTGGGCTCCCTGTTCTTCAGGGAGTCTGCTTCTCCCTCTCCCTCTGCTCGTCCCCCTGCTCATTCTCTCTCTCTCAAATAAATAAAATCTTTAAAAAAAAAAATAGACTATTTGATCTATTAGATAGGATTTTTTTCCTCTCACAGCTTTATTGAGGTATAATTTGCAAGCCATAAAATTCACTCATTTTAAGTGTATGGATTGCTGATTATTTTAGTGAATTTATAGAGCTGTGCAACCACCACTGCAATCCAGTTTTATAACATTTGCATCACCCCCAAGAAGATCCCTGGGACTTGTCTGCAATCAGTCCCCTTCCTTCCCCAGCCCTATGCACCTTTTAATGTTTTTACCTTTTTAACACTGCCCCAAATCTTGTATTGAGTGTTTTAAAACTATATAAAAACATTGCCCTTTTGAGATCTATGCTGATACATGTGGCCCCAGTTCATTTTAACTGCTATTTAATATTCGGTTGAATAGACCAGTTTCTTCTAGCTCATGGTGGGGACCTCTAGGGTGTCCTAGTAGTCCAGGTCCACACGGCTGCTATGTGCACGTGTCCCCAAGGTGGGGTTGCTGGGACATTTATATCCCCCAGAGCCTTTGCTGTGTGTCCTTGCTACCACCCCGAATGGTTGGACTTTTTAGTTTTAGCCAATCCGCTGGGCTCAGAATAGGATCTCACGGCTCGCTGGCAGGTTAAGCGGCTTTTCCTACCTCCATCGGCCATTTACATTTCCTCCTGTGTGAATTGCCTGTTTTAGCTTTTGCCCCTTTCTCAGTGTATCGAGTTATTTGTCTTCTAGAAATTGGTA